TGTTTACTTCTTGTGTATAGTAAAGTTTAGGCCAAAGAAAAAAACACTGAACAGTTATGCATTACTTCTAAAGAAAACTATCAAATGGATCAACATTTAATTAATTGATTTCATTTTTCACCTTTGTTTTTTACATTACATAATAACTATGATGGTCATGAAAGACATAACTACTAAGAAAAATGTTAATATCTTGAACTGACTTCCAGAAAGCATCAAAGTGTGTAGAATACTGGCATTAAATAAGTTGCAATTATTGTTTCTTGATGCATTGATTCAAAAAATCAATGAAATTTCTAAATTCTTGATAAAAATAATTTTCATAGTTGAAGGATATGACGTCCTTCCACTAGAATGACGTACTTCTGAAACAGTAAATTCATATATAAGCTATGTTAAATTACCGATAAAGAAAGACGTTTTTTGATTGGACACTAGTCAGCAACTAGTACAATGTGTCTAGTCCTTTGTTTAGTGGGGAGTGAATTCTATCAGTCAGGTTTGCAATGTGGCTGATAGAATTCAGTCTGCACCCAAAGAAAGGACCAGACATTAAACACTAGTTACTAACTAGTATGCAATCATAGTATCCAAACAGTCCTACAGGAGGTCGATCGAGAGCCCAAATAGCTCAGTGGTAACGTGTCTGTCTGCAGCACTGGGTGATACGGGTTCAAATCTCAGAAGAGAAGTAAGATCCTTGAAGGTTGAGGAGGTACTCCCTGCTGACTGATGAGTACCAACTAGCACGAAAGGTAGGTCAGACGGAGCTTTCTGTGCATGCCTCCAATCATTTAATACCAAAGAAAGATGTCTGCGACTAAGGAATAAACTCTATAAAATAGATTCATTTAGGTTTGAGAAATCTGAATTCACTTGAATGTGTTTACATCAACAATATTTCTTCGAGGTTTACCCTTATTATTCATTTCATGCCACTTTAATTAAATATAAGATTTTGGTTCCTTGACATCACTTGCATCTGATCCGCCTACACAACTGCCTAAAAGTTTTCATTTTCTCTTCTAATCATCTCCACCTTGACACCCTCAGACGCTCAGCTTGTTGCTTTTCATCTGGCTTTCTCTTAAGAGTCTACATCCAGTTCATCATCATTTCGTTCCCCATATTTCCTGGGCAACAAATCCTTGGCTGGTTCTCTTAGGACTTCATTTATGTAGAAGCAAAAATTAAACTATCTCTTTGTCAATTAAAATGTGAAGCATTCTCAGAGTGAACTTACACTTTAAAATAAACACTAAATAACCGTATGGAATATTTCCAGGTGGAACTGACGAGGATATCAAAGCAAGAACCGGAAAATCAAGACAAGCTTTCACTACTCTCAAGTCTGTGTGGAGGTCAACAACACTCAGCATCAAAAATAAGATCCGGATTTTCAACTCCAATGTGAAGTGAGTCAGTGCTACTCACTATACGGATCAGAGACTTGCACTGCGCGTCATAAAGAGCATCTCGAACAAATTACAGACCTTCATTAACAGTTGTCTTCGCTCAATACTTCGCTCAAGATCAGATGGCCAGCCAGAAAAGATCAGCAACAGAGATCTCTGACAATGAGCGAACCGACCCAGCAGGAACCGACTGTGAAACAAATATGCAGGGAGAAATGGAGATGGATTGGCTGGCCATACTCTGAGGAAACCATTAAGTGATATCATTAGACAAGCCCCCGAGTGGAGACCGAAAGGGAAGTGGCGAGTTGGTCGTCAGTGCAAGGGTGACTTGGATGAGGTCATGTGAAGAGGATATAAAAACGTGTGGGCAGACTTGGAGCCAGGTGAAGACCCTAGCAGAGAATGGAACGCAATGGAGACGCACGACTGAAGCCCTATGTTCCTCTAGGAATTAAAGGAAACAATAATAATAATGGAATATTTCAAGGAAACCGCTGAGTGATATTACGAGCCAGATCCTCGAATGGAAAACTAAGAGAGGAGTGTCTAAGGAAGATATAGAGTAGATCCTTCTGAGTAGGAGATGACAGCCAGCTAAATAGGACTGAAGAAAACGTGGTGAAATAGAGATGTGCTGTTGAAATCCTATGTACCACTTGGAACCCAAGAGAATAATGATAACAATAATAATGAAATATGTCGGTCTTCCTTGGAGCAATCTGTTTTAAATAGCTTAAAGTTACTGTAGCTTTGCTTGTACATTGACTGTGATAATTATCTGTAATGTTCACCAGGTTTATTGAAGATACATCAACTGATTTGAAATGCACACCAGTTTTTGAAGATACCAATGGTAAATAATTAAAATACTGTTATTATTATGCAGCTAAGGAAATGAACTCTCAAGTCGTCTATAAATAGAAGTTTCGACCTAATGACCCTAAAATTTATGAGATATATAATATATTATTAAGAATATCTTTTAAGCTTTAAGACACTTTTGAACGCTTTATCACTTAGCAACCTAACTTAATTCATTTTCCGTTTACAATCTTTGTTCTACTCAACCAATGAGAGAATACCTAGATGAATATGTTTCAACCTTAAGGGGATTTTAATGAATTTCTTAAGTTTAATTTCTATATAGCTTCATACTTTTCTCACACTTAGCAAAGTTAACAATGTACTATCTTTTGACACAATTAGAGTTACACATGGTTTGCTGTTCAGTATGAAATTCAGTCGTTAAGAAATCAGTTTTGTGAAATGCTGTACAAGGTTTGAAACAGAGGTGAATGATTTCAGCAGGAAGCTTTCACTGGTGTTTTTGTAGACAAAACTTCATCACAAACTCCAAGATAAAGTGAGCTTTCAGAATTCTCCACTGATGTGAAAACTATCGGTGCTGATGAACTACAACGTGATTAATTGTCTCGACAGATTTTCGCATTTCCTTGTTTACCTGTATTAACATTAGGTGTATAATGTAATTGATATCAACATAAGTAAACAAGACGATAAGAAAGTGTGCCGAAAGAACCGATCATGTAGAAGGACATCGGGAAAGGCATTCATTGAAAGAATGACGAATTATAAAAGCTCCCCTCATCTTGTAGTTCTCAATGGAGGTGTTGCCTAGTAAGACGCTGAAAGCTTCTCGATTAAACCATTCAGCCTTTAAAACACAACTACACAGAAAGCAGCAGAATGAACTGGCGATAAATTAATCTGTAAATAAAAACGACAACTATCTTGGTTCAAAATCTAAGCTTTCTGAACGGCAGTAATATAAACTGAAATCACACCGAATAACAGTCATCGTATAAGGTCACTGACTGTCACCAGAACTCATTAGTGACGAGGTTAAAAAGCGAAAGCCAGCAGTTATGCAATTTAGATATAAAAATCGTTTCCTTTAATTCCTAGAGGAACATAGGGCTTCAGCCGTGCGTCTCCATTGCGTTTAGCTCTCTGCTAGCGTCTTCACCTGACTCCAAGTCTACCCACACGCTTTCACCTCCTCTTCACATGACCTCCTCCAAGTCAACCTTGGACGACCAACTCGCCGCTTCCCTTTCGGGTTCCACTCGAGTGATGGCTTGTCTAGTGATGTCACTTGATGGTTTCCTCAGAGTATGACCAATCCATCTCCATTTCTTCCTGCCTATTTGTTTCACAATCGGTTCCTGATTGGTTTTCTCCCACAGGTCCCTATTGCTTATCTTTTCTGGCTAGCCACCTGATCTTGAGTATTGAGCGAAGACAACTGTTAATGAAGGTGTGTAGTTTGTTTGAGATGCTCAGTGCAAGCCTCTGATCCGTATAGTGAGTAGCACTGACTTCACATTGGAGTTGAAAATCCGGATCTTATTTTTGATGGTGAGTGTTGTTGACCTCCACACAGACTTGAGAGTAGTGAAAGCTTGTCTTGCTTTCCCGATTCTGGCTTTGATATCCTCGTCAGTTCCGCCAGCTTGTAGTTGAAACGGTGCTTCCCAGGTAGGTAAAAGAGGTTGTTTCTTTCATGTTTCTTCTATTTATGCTGATTGTTTTCTGTTGTTGTTGTTGCTGTTGGTGGTGTTGGCCAGGAATCTTCATCACCTCTGTTTTCTCCATGTTCACCTGAAGTCCTATCTTCAATGCTTCTTCTGCAAACTTGTTGCTTTTCGCTTGCATATCTTCCAGTTTGTAGGAAATCAGACATATATCATCGGCGAAGTCCAGATCCTCCAAGTTTTTTGTGTGGGTCCATTTTATGCCTGTTTCTTCATTGCCCACTGTTTGTCGCATTATCCAGTCCACTGCAATCAGGAAAATCATTGGCGATAGTAGGCAGCCAGCTTGTCTTACTCCTGTCCTCACTTCGAAGGATAGTTATGCAATGCAACGCAATAATACAGTCATTTTCCCTTTGACTGTTTACGGTTCTTTAGTTGATGCAGGTTCCTCAGGAAATCTATCGTGTAGCTTGTGTTTCGAATAATTTTCCCCTTTCACTAATCACTGACTGACTTCGTGCTCAACTTTCATTATAGTAGTTACCGTCTAGTCTTTAAAGTCTGAAGTGATTACTAATAAGACTATATCTTTTGTCGAAAGTGATTACGTTACAGATAACATTTCGGTTTACAGCCCGTCAACAACAATTCACTTACCTCGAGGATAGAACTTCAAACCTTAAACAAACTAAGTGTTCTTCACTAGGGTGGAAAATATTTTGTATTGGACTTAGTTAAGTGACTGAAATGAAAACCGACAATGTGATTCTGTTAAATGCCGAATGATAACCACCACGATAGAACTCACTACGAAATTAACAGGCGAAGTAATCAGTTACTTCCAGAGTTTTATATATTTTTGATCCGCAAGACAGTTTAACGGTGAACTTCTAGTCTCTATTCAGAGACAAAAGCAGTAGCGTTGCATTCTCATAAATTTGTTCCAGTTTATGAATGTATATTAATTGGTATAAATTACAAATAAAAATGAATACAGTGACTTGAAATACTTAATACAGCTTTTTTATTTAAAATCAGAATCTCGATAACCCAATTTTTTCTGATTATTCCTCCTATACTCTAGCCAATACTTGGAATCCTTGTATGAATCTCAAAGTTACTTAATAATCTATGAATCTGTCTACAATATGACGCAAGCATTCATTGTACAAGATGGTGTCGTTTTCAAGTTCAACCATTAATCATGCGTTTTATCATCTTTGCTTACAGAAGAAAACAAACAGCACGCATATACGCTCAATCGTCTCTTCTGTGCAAAGGAATTAAACAGTCTCATTCAAAACTATTTTGTATAATCTTTTTTATGCTTTTATAACTTCTCAGCTATGTATAATTTTATGTAAATTATTTATTTTTATTTCTCCTCATTTTACTTTACATATCCTCTATTCATATCAGTATTTTGAAGTTTAATCGACGTTTTATTCGCAGTCACCCAGACAAAATAAGTTTAAATGTTCCCGCCTGTGGACAGTCAAGTGGATGGAACTTGTGTACACATGAAGAAAAAAACTGTCATCAGTGATAATGGTGATGATGATGATGTATTTACGTAGGCATATTTTTTTATTTTGCCAGAATTATTTTGACAAAATTTTGATTTCATTTGTAAAAATTTCTTTCTTTTTTGAATGATTTTCCTAAAAGGAAATGAATTTTTAAATTTTAAAAAAAAACAATGTTCTCTAAAAATTTTCTCTGATCATGATATCATCAAAATCTTGGCTGAAACACTGAATAATTAATGGTTAATAAAACGCACAAGTTGAAATACACAAATGAATCATGTCGGTAACTTTTTAAAGGATCCTTTATAATTTCGTCATGGTTATTCAAGAGTTTATTTATAAAAACCATTGAAGATGATTATAACACTGAGAGCTAAATAACAATCTAGGGATGAGTGAGTTTAGTATATGTAAAACAGATAGGGCTTTCAATATAGCTGTAAGACTTCGGCGCTGTGGTAGTAGGTGATTCCATAATAATTTGTTTATTAGATATATCACAAAGCGAAAGAGTATTATTTACTGGATGACGTTTCGAACACAATTTATTGTTCATAATCATATCAGTTATAATCACACAACTTCAAAACTTGAGTTTCATAGTTTTCTCTATTCTTTCCTATTAATCGTCATAGGGGTAGTAGAATCTTCCAGATGTCCTGGTGGACAGATGTTGAATCATTCCTACTACACGTGTTTGCAGTTGATTCGATAAACAAAGCTTCAGTTATCAGTCTCTGCCTCCACCCTGTTACATTAGATTTTAAAAACTATCATCTTATCCCATCCTATTGTGTGGTCATGTGTAATTGCATGTAGTAACATAGTTGAACTGTTCTCCAGTTTCTTATCTAACTCGGGTCAACTAATCTAGATTTTGCTAGGTTTTTATGCTCGGCTAGTCTGATTGCTCCTGTTCTACTACTTTGACCTATGTATTTGATCTGACAATCATTGCAGGATATTAGATAAACTAAATTGTTTTGTTTAAAAAGCTCTACAGGATCCTTTAACCGACAAAGTTTGTTGGTGTGAATATCACTTCTATTCCTGCCTTGTTAAGAATTCTGCGTAAGGTATCCGAGGTTCCTTCTGTGTATGGAAGTACTACTGATGATGATTTAAATTCCTTATTGTTGGTGTTGTCATTATCCTGTGCATGTTTGACATGCTTGTAGTCATTAATATTATTATTATCACTATCATTACCAATAATAATAATAATGGTAGTGATAGTGATAATCTAGATAAGTTGACCCCAGTTAGATAAGAAACTGGAGAACAGTTCAACTATGTTACTACATGCAATTACACACAACCACACAATAGGATGGGATAAGATGACAGTTTTTAAAATCTAATGTAACTGGATGAAGGGAGAGATTGATAACGGAAGCTTTGTTTATCGAATCAACTGCAAACACGTGTAGTAGGAATGATTCAACATCTGTCCACCAGGACATCTGGAAGATTCTACTACCCCTATGACGACAAATAGGGAAGAGTAGAGAAAACTATGAAACTCAAGTTTTGAAGTTGTGTGATTATAACTGATATGATTATGAACAATAAATTGTGTTCGAAACGTCATCCAGTAAATAATACTGTTTCCCTGTGTTATATATCTAATAAACAAACTATTATGGAATTAGATAGGGCTTTATTTAACACTTATTTTTAACCAAACACACATCAAACAGTAGATATGTAAAAATGTATTAATGACTGATATTCTTAAAATATATGTGATTATAATCATCGTTCAATATCAAGCGATAAAACAAATAATGTCATATATGAAACATTTCATAGAATGGGTGGGTCCCGGAAAAAATATCTGAAGTTAATGGGATTATTAGGCAAATAGAACATTAATTAAAATAGTGAGAAGTTTGATAAGATAGATTTTAGCATTGCAAAAAATACATTAACTTAAAATAATAAATAGGCCAAGTAATATAATAGTGGAAAATGTTCAAAAAAATAAATAAAAATAATAACAATCGTAATAATGAGGTGAAGGTACATAGATTGAATAAACAGAATGAAAAACGAATAAGTAAAGAAATGCAAATCCCCCTGCAGCCAAGGCAGAAATAGGGACTGTGCATACTTCTTAACTGAACAAACGTCTGGCTTGAATTTAATGAATGGCCAAAAACTTCTCTGTCTTCATGAATTCGTAACAATGAAACTGCGTAAAGATAGGATGAATTCGATAGATGATCTTAAAATCATGATCAGGGTCGGTAGAGTGACGGAAGTCGATCAACTGCTCCGGAATAGAGCTACTCAAACCTTTCCCTTTTCCTCTGTAAAACGATGCAGTAATGTGCCCCCTCCTGTCTGTGTACAAAGCATTCTTCGGTTACGGCCAGTGTAACTTGTTTCTTAGGTGCAAGCCAGCCGATAGATACACGTGAAGGCGGCCTGACAAGGAAGCTAATTTTCTATAGAGATGGAGAACAACTTACAGCTGGTGAATATCAGCTGAACTTTATCTGCAAATAACGTCGTGCTTACTGATTTGGAAAGATTCTTGAGCCTTCCTGAAGCCTAATCACCTCTGAATTCCAGATTCATGGAGATGATTTTCTCTGAAATTGAGTTAGTGACCAGTTTAGAATGTATATACTTCATGATTTTATCAATGAGTTGGCTTGAATAACCGTTTCCAACAAACATGGCTTTTAGGAAATAAAGTTCAGCGTCAGTGAAATCAGAACTACAAATACTTCTTATCTTATAGCAGAGGGAATAAATCAGATTACTTTTCCCGGAAATGGTCACCCAACTGCAGAAATTAGTTAGCTGTCCATTCCACGTACTTGTTCGGTGGACGGAAATCCTCCATTATATCTACTGAGGAACACATAAAGAAAAGGAAATGCTTAGTGTGGATTGTTTTTCTATTTTAAGTTGTAAAGAAGGATGGTAGTTGTTGGATAATGGCAAAATATCATCAAGTACTACGTCCCTGTTACAAATAACGAAATTGTTATCTACATATCTTCTTTGAGTATCAAAGCAACGAATAGTCTGAATAAGCTGAGTGTTTTCATCCTTTGACATAAAGCAGTCAGCCAGCACTAGACCCACTAGTGGCCTTATCGCAATGCTATCTTTCTTATTATAAATCTAGACTGAACGTTGAAAGTGCATCTCAATAAGAGTTATGTGAGGTAGAATGCTAACAACTCTATGTTTAGACTATGCAAATTAATGTGACTGCATATATAGCAGACAGTGTCTGTGAGAAGTACATTAGTAAACAACAGGGTTACATCTAATGAGAACATGACTTTGTCTGAGACACTAAAACCTTTAAATCTAATGTACAGTATCGTATGATTCTGCTTTGATGCTTAGTGAAAAATATGAATAGACAAATTTGAATCTTTTTAGTTTTACTTCAGTAAACATGAATGGTATGATAACTCTCAACATTATCCGAATCACATCCATACAATAACACATAATTTCATCGTTAGTATTTTGATATAATTACACTACTTAGACGTCGCATGTAAATGGCACATCTTCACAGCCTCCACTGTATGAACTTAGAAATTTTGCTCAACTAATTTGTATCCAGCATGTTTGAGTGTATGGAAAATGCTTTAACCTTGAGGCTATATTCTCTCCTATTCCTCCTCTCTCTGCTTCGAAGAACTGCTGACTGAAACTTTCTTAAAATGAAGTCTTTCTACTTATAAGTAATACGGTATTGTATAAAAACACCTAAGATTAAAATTCTCTGCTTGAGAGATACGTTAATCAGGCAAGCCTGCTTTAGATAAATTCTTAAACTGTTATCTATGGAACCTTTAATATATCAATTAGAAGTTTATCTCGAAATCTCTTATTTAGCATAATGTTAATTTACTAATACTTTAATCTTCGTTCTAGTCTAAATTTTCGCTATACAGTTTATTCATTAAGACAAACTGAATGCCATCATACTTAATAAAGTGAAATTATCATTGTCGAAATTGTAATCTTCAAAACTAATGTATGTACCAGTTCATTAAACCAAGAAGCCAAACAGCCTAATGCAACCCCAATGATTTTAGTACACAAACTTTCTTGAAGAACCGCTGAAACACGTTTGACGCTCTTGATTTGTAATAAACCTATAAACATAATAAGTGTGAAACAGCATAAATTATTCTAAAAAATTTACATGTCTGAAGTCTTATACCTTTTTTGTTCTTTGTCAATGACGCCAATAACACATTTTAGCGCATTTCTAATTATTTTAAAAGTTACACTAATATTGACGTCAATATGGAAATTTGAGACTAAGCGTAATCACTTATCAGAATGTAACCTTCATGAAATACTACTAGTGTATAAAGTTTTGAAACTGTTTTCTTTAAATTTTCGTTGCTTCATAAACGCTCTAACTTCGAACTCTTTTATTAGCTTGCCTTATGATTACCCATAGACTTTCATTTTCCATTAATATCATCTTTTCCGTGTCACCTTCAGAAGCTGAACTCGTCGCTTCTCATTCGGATTTCATTCAAGAACCTGACGTATCACAGCACCTGGATATCTCCTCAGCATATATCCAGTTTATTTCCGCTTTCTTTTTGCATATTTGTTATTGGTGTAGTCTGACATGCAAGGGTTAAATGACAGTCTTAATGAAGAAATCTACGTCCATTGGTGACTAGATGTATCTAGTTAAGGATTTCCATAAAATACACTTTACTATTGACGCTGAGAAAAAAATACCAGGAATCCCTTATATTTTTTCTACGTTTGTTGAATAGTTATTCATTTATATATGTCCAAACCAAGTTCACTTTTAACGGTTTGAAAAAATTTGGGCATTGGGTATATGATATTCATTATAATAAAGGTTTTTGTATTTCCCAATGAATGAAAAACAAAACGATATTGTTTTTACTGACGTTTTGCTATTTAATGCTAATAGCTTTATCAAAGTATTATTAAACCGGAATTTACAAAATCTCAGCATATATATAACAAAGAGTTAAGGGGTGAGAAAATAGACTTAGGTCAAGTTAAAAGGACATATTGAAAGTTAAAATAACAATGAAGATCACTAAACCAAATAACAAAGGTAATAGTACATCTGTTATGGTATCAAAACAAAGTTTACTAACTTGATCATCGTTCGTTAGTCTGGGGTCATTTTTCGTTGTCAAGTTGGTCAATTGGTAAAGATAACAAAATCAAAATCAAGTGTAGATTGTTGGATTTGATCAGTGTGTAAAATTATAAAAGCAGTGTGTGTTTACATAG